ATAAGTAAAAACTATGTTTTTTTTATTATTAACTATTTATTTCTTGGTCTAGTAGGATGAGATATTAGATCCCTTAAGTAAGATTAAAGTTCGACTTTTGATATTTGCAAATGAAACAAATTGAGTTGGGAGATTCACACTCGCCTCTACAAATATATAATCTGGATTAATCGATTAATAAATCGGTTACGATGATTATAAAAAACTTAACTATTCACCTTTTATTAATTAGCAAATGTTTTATTTATGTCAACATACAACAACAACAAAGAGTAACAATAATACCATTAAAAATAATAAAAAACATCAATCAGGATTTGAGGATATTCCCGTTATTTAATTTCATAATCATATTATCAACAGCTAGCTTCAAGAAAAAGGATTGGTTCGTTTGAAATTAGGCTGACGCATGAAATGGAACCATTCGGTCCGGTTGTAGCACTGGAGGAGACATAACATGGCTGGCAAAAGCCCTCTGGCCGATGCAAGGCGGTCCGGTGCGGCCAGGAATGTGGGTGCAGCCACTGTGTTCAGATGGAGGAGTAGGTATTCCCTTCTGCACAGACTGCAGCACAAGACCATCCTTGTTTAGAATCCGGCCCCAAGCCACGTATGGGTGGTTGCTTACAAGAAAAATCACAGCTGCAGTGACAAGAAAATGGTGCAGGTTCCTCATTTTAATGTAAGATCGGTGTAGTTCTGAATCTGAAGATAATTAGACTGCCGGCTGCGCGTATTTATATGTGTTTTTGACAACTTGACTGACCCAATGTGGGATTGTGTGTGGCCTCGTGACGTTATAAAATTAGAAATATATTTTTTGACCGCTCTGCTTCCTGAATCAAACCCTAGTGTCAATCTGGCATGTGGATTGGACTAAAGACTTGGGGGACCATTTTCGTGGGCGGAGGAGACTTCCGATCGATTTTCACTTAAAAATTTTAAAGTCTAATATAATTTAAATGTATGTATTTTAATTTTTATTGATAATAAATTCTATTCTTTTTGAAATTTTATAAATTTATTGTCTATCATAAAATCTTGAATCCGTTCCTCTTGTTCGAGACGGGTGGAGACACGCTTGCTCTGGTCTTTTTACTGGATTTCCAAGAAACAACATGGGTTCTAAACAAGGAAAAACGTAAACGGTAAACACCAACTTGGTTTGAAATTGGATGGCCCGTGGAATCTGATGCATTGCAAACGTGTTCGTTTTGTTAAGCATTCGGATTAAACCGAAGTTTTGAATCGGAGGGGAAAAGGAGGAAAGAGTTCAACGATGGAAATAGAAGACGGGACCCGGTCCAAATCACTAACTTGTTCAACATGGGGTGGGTTAGTGTGTTTAGACCGCAATCTTTTTACCAACAACTTCGATAACACATTAAAGGTTAGAGGAGTAAGCAAGGTATTCTTGAACGAGATCTATTGTAATTCTTTTATGAAAAGAATAAATATCATAAAAAAATATTTGATAACATAGCATATCTATATCCTATGGCGGCAGATGCATGAGTTGGCACGTGCACACCTTAAAATTTGAATTTCTACATGTTTGTTGTTCAATTTATCGACGGTGTCTACTCTAAAATTTTATTAATGCCTATCTAGTTCATACAGTCTATGTCAACACATAAAACGTGAATAACTAGGAATTAACAATGGCTTACAAGTTGCCTCATAAGATTCAAAGTAAAAGAATGGGATTCATGTGTCAAGTAGTGGTGTCGACATGTAAGTAGAAAGTGAGCAAAATGATGTTCGACTGAGCTGTAAGTTGAATCAAACAATGGTGTCATTTGGGTTTTGGGTTGAAATATGGACTTTTATGAGGTTTTCTGAAGCCTTTAAAGTCGTAGGATATTCAATTAAGGAAAATGAGTGTAAACTGGGAAAATAGGCCTTTCCAAGAAGCAGCACGGACATAGAAAATGGAAGGCACAAGCAGTAAACAGCGTCTTTGATTAATGAACATTAACAGAGGAATGTTAACATGATCTTTTGCTTGAAGTTTATACGACCTAGGCTGTATAGCTCAAGCAACATGCTTAATTTGTTCCTTTACTGAATCACAATTCGTAAGATTTTGTCTTTATGTATGTATATAATTAGTGGAGGTTGAGAGAGAAAATCGATTCATAAAACCATAGTCGGATCCATATTGTTTTGGCGATGATATAAACGTAAATTGTCCATATCAGTCACTTTCTATGACTCTTGGTGCTAGAAGATGCCAAACGTGTTGCTCATCAGTTACTCCACGTTTTAACCTCTAAACCACGGATTAGTCAAAAGTCAGACCCTTAACGGCTGAGTCAATTTGTGCTCTAAACTAGTCGAGTCTGAGCAGCTCGACTCGAAAACTCGCAAGTCTAAAATTTGTAATATCGATTCGAACTCGAAATCATGAATTGAAGCTAGTAAAAGTTCGAAATGAAAAAAAAAATCTTAAACTTAACTCGATTGAAAACCTCAAACTCAAACTTGAACCTAAACTTTAAATAAATGAATACTTCATACTCAATTTTTTCCAACACATAAATGTTAATATTATTAATAATTTATTTTTAAAAAAATAAAATCTTAATATAATATATTTTCGAGCTGATCATGAGAGTCGAGTATCAAATAACTTGTTTCGGCTCTTTAAGAACTTGAGTTGGATATTTATCGAACTTTGATCGAGTTGATCTCGAGTAGCTCGAGTATTTAATGTTTAATTGAATGATTATTTGAATTTTCTTTAGAGATTTAATATTTAACTGATAAATTAAATTAGATAATTATTATATAACTATATACAGAAACTATTATATATAAATTAAACCGTAAGTAATTATTACACCTTTTATTAACAATTCACCTTCTATTTAGCAAATGCTTTACATTTGTATCGAAAATTTGAACAAAAACATAGAAATATGTCAACAGAAAAAAGAGAGAACAATAATGGGACTCAGGAAGGTTCCCATTATTCAATTTCACCGGCTAAACCAATGAAGTACTAATCAGTTGCCAGCTGCAACATGAAGGGATTCATTTGAGATTAGGCTGCTGCATTAAACGGAATCGTTTGGCCAGGTCGTAGCCGCGGAGGAGCCATGACATGGCCTGCAAAGGCCCTGCCGCCGATGCAAGGCGGCTCATTACTGCCAGGAATGTTGGTGCAGCCGTTGTGTTCAGAAGGAGGGATAGGTTCCCCCTTGTGGACAGACTGCAGCACAAGATCATGATATCCTCCGCCGTTTAGAACCCGCCCGGAACCCTCGTACGGATGAGTGCTTACAAGAAAGATCACGGTTGCAGCGACAAGAAAACGACGTAGATTGCCCATTTTAACGTTTATGGCACAAAGCTAACAAGCAAATAAATGACTAATCAAGATCGATGTAGCCCTGAACTTGAGGATAATTAGCGAAGTTTGGTGTTTTTATATGTGCTTGGACGACTAGAAACGCATCGCTCTCGATGGGTTGACCTGAGTTTCCTGGGATGCACGTCAATTAGACAACGTCGTCACGTAAGTGTAAAATTATCAGCTAAATCTTCTTTAATCAAGCAGTTTGCTGAATCAAACACTGGTGTTAATCGGCATGTCGGGTTGGAACATGGACTTTGGGGTTTTCTTTTGAGGATTTCAACGCTCCTAGACTGGTCTTTAGATCAATGTATCTGCGAATCCTTTGGACACGAAATGGATTATGAAAACGAGGTGTAAAACTGGGAAAATAGTCCCTTTTCTGGCTTTCCTAGAAGCAGCATGGATATAAGCAAAGGAAGACCTAAACAGTAAGCAGGAGCGTTGAACCTTGACATCTTTTACATCTTTTTGCAAGCAACTTTGACTGTAACCTTCTACTGCAACCCATGGTGAATCAATAATGATATTTTTCATCTTATGGTCACAATTTCTTATCGAGAGAAAGAAAGCGATTCAAAGGCCCAGGGTGTTAGAGTGGGCTTGAATGCAGTTTGTAAACCCATAGCTGAAGGAGGATTGGGGCTCATAATATCTATAAATCGACACAGTAAGAGTCTATTTGGTTTTAAAAAATATTTATTATTTTCATTTTCATTTTTTTAGAAAATATAAAACGTTGAACAAAACAAGTTTGGTTGTAAAATTGAAAAAATGATTTCTTGAAAATGAAAAAAAAAATAAGTGAAAATATGAAGACATAAAAAAGACGTTCTCAGTATTTTCATTAAAATTGTTTTGGAAATTTAAAAATAAGGAAACATTATATCTAGATTTTTAACTTACCTTACGCATGTTTAAATCATTTTAACAATATTTTTTTAACTTAATGGTATTTAAAACTCTCAAACTTTTGTAAAAAGATTAACATGGTCTATGAACATTTTTTTTACACTCAACGTGGTCCTTATATAAAATTTTAGTTAATAGTTTAATTTTGTAGCATTTTTATATTTAATGTATTTAATATCTTAATATTTTTTATATTTTATATTTTTAATTTAAATATTTTTTTAAAAAAATTAAATAATTTCTTAAACTTTCTAAAATAATCAATTAAGTCTACCTACCACATCATCGTCCATTGTTTACTGTCACAATAATATCATGAACTGTCACATCAATATTGTAGATTGTCATGTAAGTTTGTGAATTGTCATATAAGTATCATGACGATCAACGTTTGATTTTACTATTTTTCGATTGACCTTTTTGGATTGTTATATCAGTCAATTAATTAATATCCAGAAACAGAAGCAACATTTAATTTAATACAACAAAACTGTTTTTTGTTTGTGGAGAATAGAATTTCAGAAGCGGCTATCTATAAAGCAAGATATAATACTTGCCCAGTTCGTCTCACTCTGGTCAACTTAACTGCATCACTCGCATATCGATCATCAGTACGTTATCTTCCCTTTTCTCTACAAGATTTTCCTTCGAACTCTCTGCTCAAACCAACACTGTTTTGAAGTTTTTAATACCTTTTTTTTGTGATGTCTGTAGAATATAGAAAGCAAGCATGGAGAGGAGTGATTCGAGAACAAAGTGGGACTTGAACAGGTTCGACTTTATGGAGCTGAATGGTGAAGATTACTCATGTTGTAAATCACCATGGCCTGCAAAATATTACAGCTGCAGCTTTTGCAAAAGGGAATTCAGGTCAGCTCAAGCACTCGGGGGTCACATGAATGTTCATAGGAAGGATAGAGCCAGGTTAAGATTGTTATCTTCATGGGTTTTAGAATCCCAGAACCCTAACAAACCAAACCCTAACCCTAACCTTAATGCTTCACCGTCGTCTAATTTAATATCCTCTCATTCGGCTAACATATCAGCCTATCCCCATCATTCCTTGCTTTCCCCACTCTACAACACTACTACTCCTTCTCCATCTTCAGTTCTATCCTATGGGGAAAACCGAAGAAAGCCCTTCAACTCTCAACTCGGAGATTTGGCAAATTTGAAGATGCACCCTCAGAACTACGAGCTTGAAGATTCAAAGGAGGTTTTAGATTTGGAGCTTCGACTCGGTCATCTTTAACTGCAATGGCGCCTTCCAAATTTATGTATCTTATCTCATCATATAGGTTGCATTTACTTATTTTCGGTTCCTTCTTCCTTTTTATGATCCATGATGAAATGCTGTTATTATATGAAGCAATACTGATGTTAAGAGTTCAAGGCTGCCTTACTTTTTTCATTTAATGTATCAGACATGGGCTTTGCTCAGAAAATTTCTTTCCCTTTAACTGTCAAAACCAGGATGATCATAAGAGGGTACGTAGTCGAGTAAGGTTAATTAAATGACATAATAATATTGGATGGTGAAGTTGTTTGTTTGGTATATGACAGATGAGGATGGGATGTTTCTTCATCAATTAATGAATGTTCTATTTGCATTCTTTGCGATGCGAAATCAGAACGTAGAGTACGTCATTATTCTTTAAAGGCTTTCCTTTATTAATTATATACTCGTTGAAATTGGGAACAAAAAAGATGAGAATTCCCATCAAGATCACCAAAGCATGCGTCCAACTGTAGCCCTTTACTTGTATACTGTTTGATAGTAAGCCACCCGGAGGGGAATGTACTTACAATACTCTCACCAACCATACCCCTAGTATCCCATGTTCTTTATTTTAAATAAAAAAGGTAAAATATGTATTTAGTCACAGGCTGTTCATACGGTTTTGTTTTGACCACCAAACTATTTTTCTTTTAAAAATCATACCCAACACTATATTTTGTTCCCTTTTTTATCATCCGTGTTAAAAAAACTAATAGTATAGCTGATGCAATAGTTTTTCCCTCTTATTTTTCAATAATGAATTAATATTATGTTGGTGTCATGTTAACATCGTAGTTAATCTTTTAATTACGGGTGATTAAAAGGTAAGAGTAGTGTAATGGCAAATCTCGAGTGTTGATGTTGTGTTTCCCAACAATCTGAAAGTGTTGCATGTTCCCCACAAGATGTCAGGGGGGAACATGATGGGCTTTCTTTAACAAGAAACCCAGGCTTCCTTCGCCATCCCAGCAAACCACGACCAAAAACAAACAAAAAACCAACACTCGAACAACTCTGCTGCCCACCGTCACACAGTGTCGGAGCATTTAAAAAGAGGGGAACAGTGAAAAGGCAGGTTCTTGAAGGATGAAAAAAGGGGGTCAACATGAGGAGAATTCCCCCCACAAGGGTGAAAAATAAACAAGAAAAAGGCTAAAAGAATAGACGTTTAGGGGAGGGTCAAAGACCGGAGAACAGGAGGTGAACAAGTGCATGTTTTAGTGAAAGGATGAGTATTTGGACAAAAAGGAAAAGCTAGTCGGTGCACGTCATCTTCTTAAGGCTGCCTGCTCGTCTCGTCTCGTCTCTTCTCTTCTCTTCCTTCTTGTTCGCAAAGTCAAGTCCTTTTGCTTTTAATTCATGGGCGTTGAGACTTCAAATTCTTAGCTGAAATCACTATAGCTATCAACTCAAATACTATGCCTTTTACATTTCTTAATGTAATATTGTAAGATTTAATTGTCTAATCTGTATTTTTTTCTTCTTCTCAAAAGGTAACATAGATTTCATTTAAATGTCGATTGCATCAAGAATTACATCATTTTTAATATAATTTGATTCGTCATAATAAAACCAAAAAAGATTGATCCTCGACAAGGCTCATTGTACGAGTGTGTGTCACTCTATTCGCCTCTCGTCTCACATATTGTGCCTTAAGGCTATAAAGTTCCTCTAACAAAATTTGAGCCTCGTTCAACTTCAATCCAATCACATATTATATAATTAATATGACGGTTGATTTGTGAGTAAAGTTGTTAAAAAATCGATTTATTTGTCCAAAATTAATCATTTATATATACATAAATTAATTTTTTTTAATGTTTTTTTTTACATATTTTTTGGATACATAAAAGTTTAGGTTAAGGTTGGCTCTCTTAGTCCAGGGTTAATGTATATCTAAGACCCAATTAAGATTTACATAGGAATTTACAGATTGTCTACTAAGAGTGACAGTGGTAGGATTCAAACTTAACGTTACAAGATTAAATTCATGAATCTCAACCACTTGTGTCAACTCTAATTGGTTATACAAATGGAGCTGGCATGGACTGACAGGTCCATCGGATAATTGTAGCCCACTTGTTGGACGGGCTTCCAATACAAAACCGGCCTCTATCGGCCATATATTCATGGTTCCTCGTAATTCAAGATTGATATTTGCCTTGTTTTGTATTTTGTATGGGTGAGTAAAACTCGATTCAATTTAAAAATTTGATTTTTTTTTACTTGATTTGAATTAAATTTGAGTTGCAATTTTATAAACTCGTCTCAACTCAAAAAATTTCAAGTTTAAATCAAATTGTAAAATACAACTCGAATAATTTTAGAGTTATATTTTCCCTCCTTTTAGATAAGATTAATATTAGACTTAAAATTTATTAAAGAATTATATAAATTAATTTTAAAAAATCCTTTAATTTTTCATGACCTATTATAAACTAACAGGTAATATCAAAGTTGGTATATATATGTATTGATAAAATATTTAATATGATATATATATTTTAATAAAATGTCTAATTTCATATCTAAAACGTTCATTTATATATTATTATTATAACACTTTAAGTTAACATCGTTAATTAATATCTAATTAAGTAAAACTTAAGACGTGATATTTTTTTCAAGTCAATGTCTCATTGTATTTGTTTACCTTCATTGACTCTGTTATATTTTAACTATATCAACTGGATTTCATTAATAGATGTAATTGTATGAATCAAAATTACAACAAACCTAAAGAGAAAATCGGGGACATTAATCAACAAAAAAATGTACACTTAAAATAAAAATATTAAACTCAAAGATAAGAAGAAAAATTAAACATTCTTTCGAGAATAGTACTATTCGTTGTTTCTACCGAACGAGACGTTTTACGTAGTGATAAAATAATGGTGAGCGAACCAAGTAATCTGACAGACTACTTCGCAACACAATTTTGATAATATCGAAAAACAACATGTTACCATAGAAGAGATCTGACAATCCATGACTACCGATAAACTAATCAGAAAATAAATGTCATGAGGATCTTTATGCGAGCACCAACACGACCACATAGGTACGCATAAAACTTACCAAAAGCCATAATAAAATATCACAAGAGCATAGAAAAATCATGTCATAAGAACATATATTAGTTTTTGTTAATGATGTAACAATAAAGTGTAACTGATGATGTGGTGGAGAGATCTAATTGATATTTTTAAAAACTTCAAATTTATTTATCTTATAATCATCTGTACTATGATAAGTGTCACATTAATAAGATTAATTGTTATTTTAATACAATACAATAATGATTAATGATAATATATATATATATATCAAAACATTTAACTGATAAATTTTGTTAATTTTAAAACTAAGAAGATTTAACCTTCAGTCATCAATTATATTTATACTTTTGGGGCTTAATTATGGTGGAAAAGTTGATACTGGAGGACAAATGGTGGGTACAAAAAGTACACTATTTCCCCTATTTACGTTATGCAGGAAGGTTCCTACATGTTTCTGATATACATTCCAAGCATGAAGTCACAAATTAAAGCAACAATCTCAAATAAAGGTGTAAAATTTTGAAATTATTTTAAAAAGTTTAAATTGAATTATTGGTAACTGAGAGAGGATCAAAACAATAATTATTTCATTTAACTATTGAGAGCTGAGGGCTTTGTCTTTTTTGAAAGGACATAATACGTGCTTATTTAATGAAAGTTGCATTTTAAACTTTGAAAATGTCGTCAATTCCTGAAAGTTCCTTAGGCTTAACGTATTTGACTCGTAAATATTAAGATTAGTGGTTCAATGTGAATAGGTTTAACATGTAATAATTTTATAAACAAGTATGTATGACAGTTGAGTTAATTAATTCATATTGGTACATATTAGAGATAATTACATATGATGAGAATTATCATCTCCATTTTGAATTGGTCTCTAAGTTTCTAAACATTCTAAATAATTTACATTATTTTTCTCTTAATGTGGCCTCCAACTCAGAAAATAAATCTAATGTGACTCTTTGACCAACGTATTTTGTTGTTGACCATTACAATACTGGAGTGCCAGTTCACGGTGTTGACGTTGTGGTCCACGATGCTGATGTGACGGTCCATCTGTCATGTTAGAGTTACCAATTTAGCCCATCTATAATGTCATCCACCATTTTAATCTGCCACCATGGACTGCCATGTCATCACCGTGAATTGCTACCTCAACATCGTAACGGTCAACGACGAAAAAATATTGGTCAAAGGGGCATATTAGGTTTGTTTTCTGAGTTAAGGCGGCACATTGAGGGAGAAAAAAATACGAGAGCCACATTGATTTTTTTTTAAAAAAAGAATAGGGACATCTGATGCATTTTTGCCTTGACAAAAAATGAAGTAATATTGATAATTTAATGACTAAAATATAATATTTTAAAATTTAATGGTCAATTTAAAATTAGAGTTAGAGTTTAGATCTTGTAATTTAATTAACTCTAAATATTAAATACTCCTTAATTAATATGTACGAATTAAACGGAAGTACAATCTTAATTGGAAAATAATTAATTTTAAATAAATTAGGTGAAAATTTCACGAAATGAACAACATAGAAATTCTAATTGGGAGACAAATAGTAGGAAAAAAATTGATAAAATATTAAAGTATTGTCTGCCAAAGGTGGAAATAGAATAACCACCATAGCCGGCTAACAGAAAAGCTCGCCCAGCAAACATCTAAGACTTTTCTGAACATTTTTCAGACAGCTAATTGCTATTACCCAATGCCTTTGTTTCTCATTTGTCTCTTGTTTTTGCTATACGTATCTCATCTTTTCCTCTCTATATTACCCCATCTCCTTCTTCCACCACACCATAATCTCCAACCGAACCAATAATATCTTTGATTAGATCTTCAACACTTCCCATGGAATCCAGCCAGCTCGAAGGCTCGAGGAGCTCGAGCGAAGACACCAATGATATTGGTACCGGCCGGTCCTACGAGTGCGTGTTTTGCAAGAGAGGGTTCACCACGGCACAAGCTTTAGGAGGGCACATGAACATCCATAGGCAGGAGAGAGCCAAGAGCAGCAGGCCTAGTTCTCTTCCTAGAGTTGCAGACAAAGTTTCTGTTTGTGATGACAACTACAACGTAACCCTAAACCCTAAACCCTATCCTCCTATCCAAAGCCATCGCCCGCATTACTCCATGGATCTTCATTAGGTATTACCTGTAAGTTATAAAACTTTTTCCCCGAAACAGTGATGAGTTGTTTGTAGACAACTCACAGCGTGAGAATCATTGGCCTGGGAGTACTCTTAGATTGGGAATTGGTTCATTTGATCACGAAAACAACAACACATATGGGAGTAGTCAAGAATATGAACTGGACTTGGAGCTGCGATTAGGTCATGATCCATAGTATTATTATTATATATATACATATAATTAAGAGGATTTCTTTATATATGTATAGTTGTTTGTAGATTATTATGAAGTATTAATAGCTGGTAAAATCATACTTCGAGGAGCAAGGGAAGGCAAGATGAATTAAGACGTTCTGTTTTTGTTTTTCCTTTTTTTTAATTATTTCGTATTCTTGTTTTCTTGATCTAGAACTTGATAGTGTGTGCTGAAGATTTGTTATTATTTCATGTTTTAATGAAGTTGAGCTTCGAGTAATTGTTATTATGTAATCAACGAACAACACAAACCTTCTTAGTTCTCCCTGCAAAGCTGCAGATCAAAAAGTTATTTATGCAGTCTTTTGCTAAATTCAGCTTTAATATAAATTAATTCATGCAGCGTATGTTTTCACCGTGAGCTTTAGGTATATCCATGAAAATTTCATGTTTATTTTACGGTATGAGTTTAAAATTCATGGATGCTTTTTTTTAATAATATCATCTTCTTCAAGGTTTGAAAATCGGTAGCATTAATCCAATTTTAAGTGGGTTAAGTAAATCATATCCACTGAATAAAGCAGATTGTAAATTAAAGATTTCTTGTTGCGGCTGCCTTGGCATTTTACTCGTATACTGTCGTGAACCAAGGCATTTTACTCTTTCATTTTCATGCTCATCGATTTCGTGCGAGTACGAAGATGAGGCCCCTATGCCACCTTCCTCGATGCCATCAAAAAGTGCAACTCTGTTGTTACGCATGTCCCTGTAACCAAAGCAGATATCTTATTACCAATAATGACAGCCAGAATAAGAACACAACATAACAGTAACTTCCTTCATATGAAGCATAGAATCCATAAATCAAAGTCGTTATGAAAACTAACAATCAAAGAGAAGCGTTACCGTTTTAGCTATACAAATAGGTAGGAAGCTCAAATTTAGAAAGATCGATTGAAAAATCCGATATATGAACGTAGCTATAATGGCAATACGCCAATAACTGCCTCGATCACAAACCTTGAGAGTTGATAAACATAAACAAGAAACTAACACTTTCTCAAACCGAAGAAAATGTTGATGGAATCATATGAAATATCAGATTAACTGAAAAATCAAAAGGAAAATTGTATTGTGTCATAACCATTTTTTTTTAAAACAATTAAGTATTTTTTTTTAAAAAACAATTATGACTTTTATTTTGAAAAATTGAGTATTTTGGATTAATTTGGATTAAATTGACTCGAGTCGCCATCGACCTTTGGATTAGGTAGGTCAAATACCTAAAAACGTCTTTTAAAAACAATTTTAAGAAAAATAATTTTATAAGACAAAATTTTGGTCTACGTTACCAAAGATTCATTTAAAACAGGTTCGGGAGTCGGTTACGTGTGGGGAAGGGTAAACACCCCACCACGCCCAAAATTGGTACTGTGTAGCTTACACATCGTCGTAAATGGCGGAAATTATAATTTCGAATCTTTAGTAAAAAATATGATCTATTTATTGAATATTTGTTAAAATAATAGAAATACTTCACTTGGTAAGAAATCTCAAGATTTGCAATCCTCCAACGGGAAAGCTATCTCATCTATTTCTTATCTATAAAGTATATATCCTATCTTTGAATTACCACTAAATAACATCGTCATGAGTAGAAAATAAAATATGTTTAATTTATGTATCGTTAATATTAACATAACAACCATTAATACAATAAAAATTATGAAAAATATAATAATAAATAAATTATGATCTATTTATTGAATATTAGTTAAAATAAATAAATAGAAAAAATCCTTTTCTCAATAAGAAATCCCGAGATTTGCAATCCTCCGCCGGGAAAGCTACCTCGTCTATTTCTTACTTGTAAAGAATATTTTCTTTTTTTTTTTTAAAAAAAAATATCGAAAATTGACATAAAATACATCATATTTTATTTTTCCAAAACATACATCACTCATATTAAGATTCAATGAAGAAATAATAATAAAGATTAAAATTTAAATATCAAACAATATGAACATCAAAAAATAAAATAACAATAAAAATAATGTCTATAAGCTTGTAAAAGGAAAAATTTGCATTTTTATTTATTCAGCTTGAACGTCGTATCGGATTGTACCACCTCGATCCAGTGATACTTTCCCCGCCCGTTCTACAAATTCATGTTCTTGAAAAATATTTGAATGAAATTAACAACTAAGGAAATAAAATAGAAACAAATATGATCGCAAATGACACATAAAATATTTACAATATTAAATAAGAACATTTACTATACATGTATAAAGGATTGAAAAGCAAACAACTAAATATTACAAACCAAACTAAAATACCAAAATAAATCATTAAAGGCAATAAAATATAATTAACGGAAATTAAAAGAGCTAAAATGACAAAAAAATATTAGGGACCAAACTGCAAAAATACAGGAAATTAAAGAACCAAAATAGATACAATCGAAACTTTAGAAACCAAAATAATAATAAAAAAAAAGAATTTTGGGAACTAAAACAGTAAAAACAGAATCTTCAAGGGCTAAACAGCAAAAACAGGAATTTAAAATACTAAAATCAATAACAGAAAGTTAAAGGACCAAAATGCCAAAAACAGAAACTAAAGGACTAAACAGCAATTACAAAACAAACAGAACCCAAATATAAAACATTAAAAATACAAATACTAGAAACCAAAATAACTCAACAATATTATTAAGGACTAAAATAAAATGAAAGTAAAACAAGCAAGCCATATTCAGCATTTAACCCAATATATAAAAGTAGTGATCAAAATGCATTCAGAATCAAAATACATGGATTATAAACATGAATAAAACATGTATTTCTTTTACATAGTAAATAGTGACTAAAATGAACCAACAAATAAACTATACTGCACATGTATAAATAAATTAAAGTTTGATGGCTGAAGCACAAATATAACCACAAAAATGTTTAATAGCAAATAATGACGAAAATGTAACAAAAATAAAATAAAAGCTCAAAATGAAATGATGGAATTTCATTAAAGTGGCAAGATTACAACCATTACATAAGCTGCAGGGACCTAAACTGTTGTTTACCCATAAACTATAAGGACACGCGTGCAAGATTACAGAGGTAAGAGGACCAAATGGGCTATTAGCCCTTAATCCCACCACTCGGCCTCACTCATGCCTCAAAACGACGTCGCTCGATGTCTGAAATATAACCCTTTTTAAGGGTTATATTAAAACCCTAAAATCATTTACTCTCCCCCTCATTTCCTCAGCCGCAGACCCAAACCCGTGGGAGAGAACTCTCCCTCGGCTCACCGCCATGGGAGGCGACCAAGCCTCCTGCCACCGCTAATCAGTGGCCACTAAACCTAAACCGATCAACTATCCCCCACTAACGACCTCTCCTTTGAAAACCCAACCTCTAGAACCCAAACCCACAACTTACCACCCGAACCGGACTTCCCCCCAAAACCAGAAAAAAACAAAGGCTTTACCTTCAGAAATGGGGCTAGCTGGGATCGGAGAAGGTCACAGAGAGATCCACGGTGGGGTTAGAGAAGGTAAAACTTTTTTTCTTTTCTCCCCTTTTTCTTCTGTTTTTTTTTGTTTCGAATTTCCCTCTGTCTCCTCTGGTTTTTTTTTCTTTTTTTCTTTCGTTTCCCTGGCTTCTTTTATCTTTGCTTTCTCTGGATTCCTGGTGAGATGATGATGATATCTAGGTAGATAGGATTTGATTTCTCTGATTGGGTGAATAAAATCCAGATTTTTCGGGATTTTAGGATGCTATTCTAATGGGTTTTTTTTTAGATTTGGGGTAAGTTAGGCCACTGTTATTTGATTGGGTCACTGTTCATGCAGGAGAGCAGTCGGCGGCGACGGGACACCTCGGCTTGGTGGCTCGGTGATTGGCTCACGGTTGCTCACGCGGCTCAGGCATGACTGGTGAAGATCAACGTGCGGCTGAGGGATTGGATTCTGGCTTGGGCGGCGGCTGTGTAGTTAGGGGATTAGGGTTTGAAACCCTAAACTGATTTAGGGTTTGAAACCCTAAACTGATTTAGGGTTTGAAACCCTAAACTGATTTAGGGTTTGAAACCCTAATCTGATGGGTTGTTGGGCTCCCGGTCTCTGGGCCAATTGTAATCAGGCCTTAATTTGGCCTGCAAAAATACATGTAATTAATTTATAATAAAAATAACGATAATAATAATAATAATAAAATAACGGTAAAAAAAAAACCCGGACAAAAACGGGTGTCCACATATTGAATTTAGATGTGTGATTTGTGTTAATGGACAGTTTTTTCATATCCTTCGACTTTAACTTATGATTTGTTGTGGTTTTTTAATAGTTTGATCTTATTTTTGTTGTTCGTTTATCGACGCGTTGAGATATATTTGTATCTATATTTTGTTTGAGTTTTTATTAGGTTTTTAATCTTTTTCTTATATGATATTTGTGTGATCTTAAGTAATTAATTTTTATATCAACGATTATAGTAAAATGTCATAATTATGTATTTAGTTTATGCTTATGGTTGTAAACCCAGATTATAATTTTGGATATTTTCTTTTCTTAATAAAACTAAGATTTTTACAAAAAAAAAGCAACGTTTTAATTTTAAACTAATATATTATCTAAATTATTCTAAAAATATATATTTAATAAAACTTCAGATTATAATTAAGGGTGCTATAACAGTGACCATCTAATTATAGCACTTTTTCAATTTGATCACTATTTTTGAAATATTATCAATCAAGTCACTCAATTATTTAAATGCATTCAATTAAGTCACATGCCCTTAATATTTGACATAAGTGTTGACGTGTCAATTAATAAAATTGATATAATTCCACATTAGGCCACTCTTACTTATATACTCTATCAATTTGGTCTTAATTTTAATAAATTAAAATAAATTTAACTAAAAACATATTTTATTTTTACCTTAACTTAAATATTTTAATCTTATCTTAAATTTAAAAATATATATTTTTATCTTAACTTAAATATTTTTATTTTATTCTTATAATATTTTAAAATTAAGATAAAATATATTTTTTAGTTAAGATGAAAATAAATTTTATTTCTTAAACTAAATGAGAATAAAATATATATTTTAAAATTAAAATTAAAAAGAATATATATTTTAAGTTAAAATAAGAATAATTAATATTTAATAAGTTATGATAAGAATATAACTTTTTTAATAACTTAATTTAAGAATATAATATATGTAATAAGTTAAGATAAAAATAAAATATATTTTTAAAAATTAAGATATTAAAAATTAAGATAAGAGTAAAATATATTTTTTAAGTTAAGATAAGAATAAAATATATTTTTTAAGTTAAGATAAGAATATATTTTTAGTTAAAATAAGAATAAAAATTTAATAAGTTAAGATAAAAATAAAATATATTTTTTAATATTAAGATGTGAATTTAATTTAATATGACAATTTATGTTAACATATATATTATATTAAGAATTTAAGATTACACTAAGATATAACATATATACTACATTTAGTCTACTTTAAACCAAACAATTAACTTGGCCTAGTGGCTGAGGTCTGCCATTCTTGCCCAAGGAACCTGCTTTGAGTCCCGTCTTCCCCTCATTTAATCTTTCAATCAGATTATAACAAGTGTTGTGATAGTTGGAATCAGTGACACGTGAAATAATTTGATTTGATAGTTAAATTTATTTTAATTTATTAAAATTAAGACTAAATTAATAAAATATTTAAGTAAGAGTGACCAATTGTGTAATTATAACATTTTTTTAACTATCATGTGAGAATTCCATCAAATGTTAATGGTAGATGATTAATTGAATGCAGTTAAATAATTGAGTGACTCAATTGATAAAATTTAAAAATGATAGTTAAAATGAAAAGAAGCAATAATTAGGTGGTCACTGGTAAAATTTACCTTGTAATTAGTAGGTTAAACCACAAGAACGATCACTAATGTTTAAGTAAATTTTTGTTTTCATCATTGAAGTTTCAAAAGTAACATGTTAGTCACTAATGTTATCTATTTGTAATAAAATTTTCACTAACGTTTTTGATTTATAACAAATTAATCACTCAACATTAACAACCGTTAACTTAAGTGACAGAAAGTTGATGTAACATGTTAATATGACTTTTATAACACTATTTAACCACTTGAGATCATTTTAACATGCCTTAGCTTCTTTTTATACATCTCCTTTAACTCACAATTTCTCTTATTTCTTTAAATCTCGAACAAATCATACATTATTTAGGAAAAAATAAAATGGTGAGTTGAAGAAGAAGAAGAAAGAGAGAAAGAAGTTAGGGTCGGACAAAATAGTCCCACGTGATCAAATGATTTAAAAAAAACTAAATTAAGGTGTCATATCAACTTTCCATCAGCTAAGTTAATGGTTGTTAGTGTCACGGGGCTAGTCTGGGCTGGCGGTCCGTGACATTAGCGTCGAATGTCTTAGTGACATTAGCGTCGAATATTTTAGTGACCAATTTGTTAATTTTAAAAATTTAATAGAAAAAATAAAAATTTACTTAAATATTAGTAAGCATTTGTGCAATATATCCTAATTAATATTAGAGCTCTACATGTTTGAAGTAGGAAAATATCGAGCTCTAAGACCGCCAACTGATCTGCATCCCACTCTAATGGGTTCCTTGGACGATGGCGTATCAGCATCGGGATCGTCTTTGCCCAACAACATGGAAAAATTTCTGTGCGACCGGTTGCTCGACCCCAGCCAGCGAATATCCGAGCGCTTCCGAGCTCTCTTCTCCCTTCGCAACCTCAAAGGCCCCGACCCTCGCAACGCTCTCATTCAAGGTCGATGCGCTTCATAATTTTATATATAAAATTTCTATGCGTGTTTCTCCCTTTTCTAATTATTGTCTGAGGATATGTATGTTTTTTAAGTATATAATTAGGGCTAAATAGAGGACTAATTACTTTATTTTTCTTGAATACTTTTTTTTATCTATTTCCATCTGCATCATTTTTTTAACTCTAACTAATGTAAAAAACGCATAGAAAGATGAGAATTTGTGTCCCTTAATCTGGGTTAAATAGTTTAGTTGCTACAATTGATTATATAAATCTCACTAAAGATAAACGAGCAAATGACAACTTTATCAATGAATTAATCGTAAAAATCTGAGCTCTTTCCTGTAGTGAGCAGTCTAATCTTTGTTGCAATCTATGTTCCTGCAGCCACAAGGGATTTATCAAATTTGTTGGCTCATGAAGCTGCATTTGCATTGGGTCAAATGCAAGATACTGAAGCTATTCCTGCTTTAGAAGCTGTTCTAAATGACCTTTCTTTGCATCCCATTGTTCGTCATGAGGTTGGTTCATGTGAAGTTGTTCTATTGTTATGTATTCAATTTATCTCTGTGGTGTGATGGCTACTTTTCACATGTTATTCTGCCACAGGCAGCTGAAGCACTTGGTGCGATTGGTTTAGAGAGTAACATTCCTCTTTTGAAGAATAGTTTGGTTCTAGATCCTGCTCCGGAAGTCCGGGAAACGTGCGAATTGGCTCTCCAGCGAATTGAGGAGTTAAAATCTAGCAGTAGTGATGATAAATCATCAATGAAAGAAAAGTCACCTTTTTTGTCAGTTGACCCTGCTGCAGCAGCTCTATCTCATTCATCTGTTGATAAACTTCGGTATTTCTCATTATTGGTGGTGGATGCAACTTTCAATTTATCGTGTTTTTTTGTTTAGGCTATTTACTGGTGTTGTCTAATATCAAGGGAGGTGCTATTGGATGAGGAAAGAGGCATGTACGAGAGGTATTCAGCTCTCTTTGCTCTCCGAAACCATGGTGGAGAGGAAGCTGTTTCTGCCATTATTGATTCTTTGGGAGCCAAAAGTGCTTTGTTGAAGCATGAGGTTTAATGGCGTTCCTTTAATTAATTGTCTTAGTCTCTATGCAATCTTAATCTTTTTCCATTGCAACTGGATGGATTTTTATGTTTGTCAACTGGCTGTGATAAGGTTGCTTATGTCTTGGGTCAATTGCAAAATAAAGCTGCTTCAGCTGCACTTAGCAATATACTGAGGAATGTGGGTGAACACCCAATGGTTAGACATGAAGCTGCTGAAGCACTCGGCTCCATTGCAGGTTAGACTATGTAATGCTGATGGTCCCACATAACTGCCTTTTGTGAGGGTTGATAATGAGACTTAAGCCAATTTTGTTGTTTTCATAAGGGAGAGACTATAAGTGCTGCTAATCAATGACATCTGATCAGTCTCTCGCTTTCACTTTTTCTTGGATGACTTCTATGGCTTATGAATCTTTCCTCTTGCTGTTTTGACCTATTGAGTTAGTCTAATTGAATTCCTCATTGTGCCCATGTTATAGATGATCAAAGTGTAGCACTGCTCGAGGAATTTGCTAGGGATCCTGAGCCCATTGTCTCACAGAGCTGTGAAGTCGCTCTTAGCATGCTGGAATTCGAGAGAGCAGGAAAATCATTTGAGGCATGTAACCCAGAATTCTAACTTAATTCTAGTATCATTGTTATTGAAGTCTTTTACTTTCTCGTGATGACGATAGTAATCGTTTTTGTGTGCAGTTCCTCTTCATGCAAACTCTTGCTGTGCATTAGAACTGGTAAAAACACGAGTCTATGGGAAAAGACAGGAGCTGAAACACTAAACCACAACTTATATTCATCTTAACTGGGTGTCTGTTTCACTTTTTTGCTGCAAGTTACAAATCCTTTGTTACAGGTAATGATTTCATTGCCAAAAAGAACGAGGAAGACAAGAAATGAAGTTGGAAAATTATTATTAAAGTCCCTTCTGTTTAGAACTTGTAACCAAAGGAACAACCCAAAACATTTGTTTTCTACTATTAACTTTTCAACTTTAGCATGATGAAAAATTAAGTCGAACTATGTATGTGGAACCAGAAGCCTATAGCTAGCTAGCGAGGAAGACAAAGTCAGAACTATGATAGTGGAATGTAGGTTTTTTCTTCTTGTTGTTGTTGCTTATGCAAACCGCCATTTGCCTGTGTTAGGGAGTGAAGAACCATGATCTTATTTATGCCTTTCTTTTTCGTGGATGACATCAAGTCTTTGGGGTCATTTTTCTTTGCATGTTGATTTGAGTTAGCTCCATGCTTGTTCTTGGGCCAACGTGCCACGCCATTTTTGTTCTGGTTGCAGCTGATTTGGCTGGATTTAAGACTTTTTGGTTGATTGATATAACTCCAAATTCTGACATGGCTGATGCAAGGGGAAGTCTCACGTGCGGCGGCGTAATATACGGCTAAGGAAATGCGCTACCGGAATTATTATTATTTTTAACATTTATGATAAAAATTTACCTAAAACATTATTATTTCTACCGTAAATGTTAAAAAACATTAATGTTTTAAGTAATATTTTGCTGGAAATATTAAAAAATAATAATAACATTTCTGGTAGTGTATTTCCTTAATCGTATATTAAGGTTGTTCTACGGCAGAATTTCCCTTGATGCAAACATACAAATATCCATTTATTACATTGCATGTCTGTGAATTCTAGCATTAAGTATGCCTTTGGTTAGCATGTGATTTGATCTGAAATATTGCAATAGGTTGTTATTTATATGTAATGTGCAAGGAAATAACATTTATTGAATGAAATATCCGCAAGTGAACATGATTTTCATTCATCAAATATATTATTTTATGGCAATCAAGGTTACGGTAAATAAATTATGTCTCAAATTTCTGCCAAAAAAGTCTTAAATTACGATAAACTTAGTTATCAATGGAAGAAATTTTACAGACTGGACTTTAGGCAGAACAACACTGGACTTGGTTCGTGTGCAGTAAGAGCAGCTCCTACAAAGCGATAAAGGGCAGCAGTTCCAAGGTGAGGCCATCGGCGGAAAATAAGAGAAGAAAAACAAACTTTATACTAAAAAAATTCTGAAAACACCACCAAAAATCAAACTTGTATGAAAAAATTGTCAAATAAACATAAACAAGTCAAATTATATGGTAAACTGGGTCTAACCCATTAAATTTATAAACCAGTATTGCTCAAACCATTATTAAATGTCTCCTCAGAACCCTACACAGGCCACCAATGTCCCCCATTCACACCTCTTATAAGACTACCCCTTTTGTTGTGCCCTTTAAGGATCTACCCCTCCATTCAAAACCCATTTCTTCCCTCTAGCACCAATTCCTAGTGCACTCGTGTGGTTTGCACAAATTTCACATATTTATTTCATTTATTCCTGGTCTGTTGCTACACTGCATTTTTTCTTTTATTTTCTTTTGTGAACTGTGTCATGGCACCATCTGTTACCACCGGTTCCCTTTGTGGTGCATGCAAGTTCCTGAGACGAAAATGTGCCTCGGACTGTATTTTCGCACCTTACTTCAGTTCGGAACAAGGCCCTGCACGGTTTGCAGCCATTCACAAAGTGTTCGGTGTAGTAATGTTTCCAAATTATTGTTGCACATCCCAGCTCGTGATCGTTGCGAGGCGGTTGTCTCCATTGCTTACGAGGCTCAAGCAAGATTCGAGTCCCCGTTTATGGTTGCGTAGCTCACATCTTCTCCTTGCAACAACAGGTAATTAAGGAAGCTCCAATTTCGAACATCTCTAAAAGTTTTTATGAAAGTATCAGGCATATATGCAACGATTTTACAATGTTCTTGGATGTTCTCTTTGTCTTGATTTTACAGAGTCAAAGCTCAGCTAGCTCAAAATGCCATGAATTCACATACCATGTATGGTCAGTGGGAACAAAACCTGTCTGGTTTATTCCCTTCCATTCCAAATGATCCGATTTCCCCACAAAGCTCACTTGAATCGGTTGAAGTCGAACTCAACAGTGGTCAGTGGTCACAGTGACACCATGAATATACAGGAAATGCTTAGTATAGAAAACTTTGCTTTCCATGGTATGAGACCATGTGATGGTGATTTTCATATTTATGTTAGACCGAGACAAACAATGCCAACTCCAATCTTCGTCAAAAGATTAGTGAAAAGTGTGTTGATTATTGGGGATTATTATTATTTAATTATTAAGATGGATTAAGTATTAATTAAGAGTAAAGTATACAAATGGTCCCGGGGCGTTGTTTTATTGAGTCCCTCGGATATTGAAAGTTACAAAATGATCTTTCGACTATTCATTATGTTCCGAACTAGTCATTTTTCGTTAAAAAATTAACGACAATCAAGGCTGGATTTTAATATGTTGTTTAAGAAATGATATCCGTTTGAGATTCTAGGATCATATTTTATCTTATCTCATAAATCAGATTAACATCCGATTTGGTAATTAAAATTTCAATTAAACTTAGTGTTATGAGTAATATTATTGGAATAATAGTCTTTTTACCATTTATGTAAATAATATTGTTTATATAAGAGTATAAACATTTTTAAGAAGAAGCATCTATATGTTGCATTTTTAACATTTATGTAAATAATATTTGTTTATATAGTATAAACATTTCAATTCAGGTGTCTAGCGTTTTCTAACGTTACACTTTTAAGTGTCTCGGCTGTAACGAACGTTAAATTATGCCGTTAATTGACATGTCACATCAAGATAATTTTTAATATTTTTTAAAAGAAATATAAATTTTAAAATTATTATAAGTCAACAGTGTCATTTAACTGCATAATTTAATGGCGTAACAATCCAAACATCTAAAAATGTATCATTGAAAATGTTAGGCACTTAGATTGACCGAAAACTAATTTAAGCACCTAAATGGGAAAAAAGTATATAGTTTTGAC